CCTTTTAAAACGGACTCAAGTAAAAAACAGGCATTAATTACTTAAGAATATCCAGATAAATGCAGAGCTTCACTTATCTTTGAAATTGAGCTGCGCGCCTTGACCTTGACAGGTTAAAATTACTGTCTGACATTTATGATGGGAACACATGGTCTTACATATCTGTTATAAAACACTTAGCAACTCAGTCCATTACCCTTTAATTCATATTGCACTTATGACCCTCAATGGCTCACCCACACATTTCCCTCAATAAAAATAATAAAAGAGATCCTAAATGAGTTAATGGTCCATAAAATTTAGTATTACCCAAATACGATGTTAAAACTTTAATCGCGAGATACTTATTAAAAATGACATTTTAGAGTATTGCAATATTTCAATTAGTTATGCTACATACTTCATGCAAGCATCTTGGTAATCCTATCTGATTTGTTTTACTGAGTATAATCAACTTACATCATTTGAATATTTGGCGATTTCGAAAATGGTAAATTTGGTCATCTGTAATTCCGCGATAAAGTTGGTTCGTCTCAAAATAAATTGCTAGTGTTTTTCTAGTGTCTGGTGTTTGAGGATTGAAGATTTTTTTGAATATTACATTATGCTTCTGCTTTTTTATCGCCTTAAAGATCTGGAAAACGACAGAGCAGTGTATATAATCTTTGCTGACACCCTATTCCATGGCAAAATATAGTGTATTCTGCTTGAAAAGGATGCAGTTGCACTCGGACCGATTGCATATATTGATGATCTTAGGGTAAAAAGAATTTTTTTTATTCTTAATAAATCATCGGTTTTCTTAGCTTCAATTATAATTATAACTAAATTATGACTGAAGCGCAGTCATAAATAATTGCAATTTTAGCCAAATATAACGTATGTGGTTGATCGATTCTACATCATTTCAATAAATTTTTAAAAGTGGGAATATTACATTTTTCGGATAATTTAACTTCAGAATTACCTCAATCCATTGGCCAAAAATGCTTGATTTTTGATGATGTCTATGAGGTCCGGTTTGCGCCCACGGCCCTCATATGGAGACGACACAGAATGTTTCTAAACTTATTATCAAAAGTTGTTTGTATACAAAAAATTCAGCGAAGTCAGTGAATCAGATGGGTCCTGCGTTTGTCGTATGAAACCTGACACATGTTGGTGAATCCTGGTTTGAGCCACATAAAATCCTTTTTGCAGCTGTCTAAATAGCCAAGAGTTGTCTGTTTTGGGAGGTACCAAAATAATTAGCCAAAATACGTTCTTGTTTTTGGCCTCCCCAGTCTAAGGTGACAGTCTTCGTCAGACGCACAATGTCTTCTTCTGTAGCAAATCAATCAAAGGGTTACATCGCATCGAAAGAGTAACTAATTGACAGAAAGGAGAAAACACAATAACGAATCCACAAATAAACACCTGGACTATCATTTTACCCGCTGATAAAGTCTGATTCACTATCCCAGTAGACATGAATGAATGTTAAACTAAGGTTTACAAGCTTCCAGGCGACTTTGAACAATACGCGCTTCATTAAAACGTTCTACAAAGGCATTACTTTTGCGGATTCTTTAAACTCTCATTTAGTTTTTTTTAAAAACAGGACGTCAGCATCAGGACGGACCATTACACGAGAAAACCCAACAAGGCCGACAAAGCATACCACGACTGCCGCCTCGTGGCGCACACAGATACGTACCTCTGGCTCTCCAACTGTAGTCCGACCATCTGAGGGGTTGAATTATATGAGATCATATTTTAGGATTTCTGAGATCATTGCGCCGCTCTCACTTAAGATTTTGGACTCTGAAGTTCACGACGTAGCAGCCGAAATTGTTGGCCCACCGTTGACAACGCTTTCGTTACCGCAGGACACGAAGTAATTCGGTGGTTCACATACGCCGGAATAATTAAGACGAAATGGAAGAAGAACTCACCTTCTTAGATGTTTTCGTCAGTCGTCAGCCCAATAGTTGTTTGCTAGAAATGACCTGCAGTAAACTATCGAATATAATGTTTTGGCTTTGGTAGAAACAACCTGTTGTGCGACTTCTTCCGATCTCTAATGCATACTGTTGCAGAGCATCTGCTAAGGGGGCACCAACAAATTAAATCACGAGACTGCTCATAGCTAACGAAACTCCTTGGGCTCTTATTAAGCTGAACTGTCGACATTAAGGGCCCACAAACAGGGAAACTGAGTAACTTACACATCACATGTTTAAAGGTCTATTGCATTATTTGTCCGATTTAACGCTTTACTGTCGAGCAATAAGATAGAAGAATCCACTAGCCTAGCAGAGGCAATTATTTACCTTTCGTCGGCCGCAGCCTATTAGTAGGAAGTAATAGTGCCTTTAAGAGATCGACGGAAAACTAAAGGTGGGGATGTGCGAGCACCGGCGGACTGCAAAACTTGAAGTTGGAATCCGCAGACGGGGACGCCAAATACCCTCGTCTGATTTTGACTCAGATGACACCATTGCCTGGACTAGGGCCATTCAACAAACCGGCATATCTGGCTTTTAAATAAAATATAGCCTTACTAACTCATGCTGCAGGTAGATATCTTCTTCCAGGGGTCGCATGCAATGCCCATTCCCATAGACGACCAACTCGGCAGCCGTATTGAGCCTCTATAATATGCCTAAACAGTGAACGGCACAGACCCATTTGAGCTCTCGGAAGCAGGTCGACAAAGGCCACGACGACCCTCCCTCACTTACGACGGCTGTTGTACAACGGGTCTGTCAGTCTCATTGACATTTCCTTGAATTATTATTCCTCGTCATGAGATTATTCGTAACACTATAGATTATAGTCGCCGGACACAAACGATCGGTCGACGGCACTCCCATGCGAGTCGGTCCGTCTCTGACGATAAAAAGTGTACATGTCATTTGGTAACTCAAATTTGACATAGACCTATCTTATCAATCGTTTCTTTCTCTTCGGTTACTATATTTGCAAGCACATTTTAATTTTGTTGGGTTCAATGTGTACAATTCAATTTTAATGATCGACTTTCTTTCGTCAGAAAGTACATCATTCGTGGTTCAGGCATTTCAGCAAATCTTCCTATTAAAAGTTTCGTTGAGAAGTACATAAGACGGGGAATTATGTGCCCCACGTGTCACAGGTGGTTTTGTGCCAAATTTCAGCGGGTATCTATCATTAATCCTAATGTTAAACTTAGCTTCAACCCTAACGCCAAAATTGAACTAAACCCTTGCTTTAACCCCTCGGAATCTAATGTAAGGCCGCCTGTAATACGGCATCTACCTGCTATCCTGTCTTCCCAATAAATGTAATCATGAGAAAACAACTATGAAGTGATGCGCGGCCTGCAGATTCTTAGCACCGAGGGTCTTCAAAACAGAGTCCATTAGTTCTAATATCTTCTTTCTTTGATGTAAATATGATCTCCTCGCTACTACTGAACTAGTAGCAACCGGTCTAGTCGAATACAAAATAGTAGAAGTAGTGTTACAGCGGTCGTGTTTCCCTCTTAACAACTGATGTTTTTTGACACACTGCCAAGTAGCTTTTTAAGTGTTCCGAAACATTAGTAGTATATTTTTGAGCAAGTATAAAAGTAGGTGAATAATCAATTAAAACACATAGAGAAGGAGGACTTGGTTGTGTGTCATGCCCGGACCAAACACTAAATGTCAATTTGTTTTATGCGTCCGCACAGCTAGCGAAAACAGTCAAGTTTATATAATGCAATTTTCTTTCAGTCTTTCCTCCGAACCCTTGGATTGTCAACCCGCCGAAAAGAAAATGGGACGAAAACGCCCGATATAAATGCTCAGTCTCCGCAGTACTTGGATATCTGTGCTTCCGGTGTTGGCCTCTTTCTCGGAACAACAGCCGTCCCTGACAGCTACGGCAATGACCTATGCTTCTATGCCCACCTTCTTCTACTAAAGGCTTCCACTGATGCCAAGCGGAAACCACAAAGCGCAAGAATCGTAGCAACTGATGAATGTATAACTATAACACAAATAAAGCCAAACGTAAGGCTCTTTTTTGATTGCGTTAATTATGCAACTTCCTTAATGAAAGTGTATACTTGATTAAGTCCTCTGGAAAAGTTCTCGCCGAAATCAGCAGTGAAATTGTATCGAGCATATTCCACAATTTTTCGACCACAAATAATGCCACAGAGAATAAATCATAAAAGATTAACCAGAAAATCACAACAATAGGCTAAATAAATTTATCCATATATTGTATATATTTATTTATATACTGTGCCCAAACATGACTTTTTGGGGTCAGACCCGAAATTTTAGTGTGCCTTTGGGTCGAAGGCAATCAAATATTGCAGAATAACCACGTAATGTTATCCTACCTCCATGTCATGCACTTAATAACTCCAGAAATTATTAGCTTAGCAATTCTCTGAAGTTCACGCATAGAAACTGCATAGAGTACGCTGGAAGACTCCCTCAGGGGCCGAATCCCTCGCAGCTGTGTGAAGCAGCGGCAGAATATCGACGAAACACGTGTCTGGGCTTTTAGCTAATACACATGACCGGAGTTTGGTATGGCCATCCGTCACATAAAATTGCACCAGTTGTAGCACTACTTGTTCGTAGTGTGGATATTGCGTGGTTATTCCACAGTAGTTAATCGCCTTCGACTTAAATGTTCACTGAAATTTCGGGTCTGACTAAAAATTCAGGCCTCGGGTCTTAGCTCCATGTCCTGCAGCTCCATTATTCTCTGGGATCTGGATATCAGAAACCGCATAGAGAACGCCGGAAGACCTACTGTGAAGTCGAACCCTTCACATCCGCTTCACGTAGCTGTAGAATATCGGCGAGACACGTGTCTTTGCTTTTAGCTAGTATCTACGTCGGGAGTACGGTATGACAATCTTTCATGTAAATATTGTGTATCATTGAAACTCAGGTGATTTACATACTCATTACTGGAAGTGTTCCAAATTCGGAAAAACCACAATCATAAATTAAAAAATAACTTATTTGCCTGTCCAGCCTTTTACAATTTAAAAAGACCAGTAAAAATGCTGTTTAATAAAATAGGCCATATTTTCTAACTCTCTGAATTTCCTACAAAAGGTATACCTTCTTCAAATTTTACATAGGTTTTTGCAAAAGAGGTATGTTACAGAGAAAGGGACTGAAATATTTTTCCGTGCTTGTTGTGTCTTGACTCTATAAAAAAGAGATGTCCAATGTTCAGTTGGGAACAGTTTCAAGTCAGGCTTTCGTAATTATAGGGTGATGTGCAAAAACTTAACAAAGAATTTAGTTGAGAGCTTCAGAAGACTAAGTAGATATAATTTCCTGGTATGAAAACATTAATTAAAAGATGACACTGCGATAAATGTGCTAGTGTTCTTAACTTCATGTGTGAGAGGTCTATATTACTTCTTTAGCGTCTTCTTGCCAAATGCTCGTTAGAGCACCTTTCATATGTCTGGATTCATCCAAAGGACCCGTTTGTGTTTGGCTTTATTTCTGCAGAAGAGAATACCTCCAAAGCGGACATTCAATTTAAGTTTACTGCAATGAAGATGACTTCAAAAGTAAGAATATTATGACGTGTATTTATTTTCCGCTTCAACATCCCCGGAGACATTTGTCCTTTTTAAAAACGACAAATAAAACAATATAGCACAGATAGTTTAACCTCCTTTATTTCAGGCATGTCAGATTGGTTTGAAGGTGAACATTGAAATGTTCCAAGAAGACTGAAATTCGGTTTTCATAAGATGATAATTCAAACGATTTTGAATTCAGAATTCTAGACAAGTGTACTTGCAAATCCAGAAACGTAGTGTCCGGACGGATCGGTTTGCCCCTTCATTTGAAGACTTAGACTTTTTACCTGAATTCACCTTCAACTGAAATCTTTCTAAGTTCGTTTTTACCTATTATGTCAACTAAGCTAGCAGTTTACGACCTGTTTGTATACTTCGATTTGCGATAAAACTTATAATTCATAGGAGAGTGATTAATTTTGAACATGAAGCAAATATTTTACGCAGGATGTTATTATCAACAAAGATAAGGGAGACTGGAATGGCCATTTCTGGTTTATCAGCCGTCGTCAGCCAGCCATACTCAAGCCCGAAGTGTGGAACACACGAGCCTCGAACTCGCGACCTGTTGGTTTAGAAGTCCATGCCTCTACCCTCCGGGCCACGATCCCGTTGCCCTGTCGGTTTTCGATCGGCAATATACAATGGTAGAGGGGGGGGAGGCGCTCACCAACAAGCCAGAAATGGCCATTCCAACCTCCCTTGTCTTTGTTGGCAATAGCATTCTGCCTACATTATGCGCCGTTGTGCGACTGCTTGTTGGGATCGAGAGAGAGAGAGCCCGTAACGAGTGGATTCTGTAAGAACGATCACTCAGCGCCCCTCCCTCTAGCAAACATTTTACTGTTATGCTTATTAAAAGTTGTTTGTTTTCAGGAGAGCATATGGTCAATGGCAGTTCCTTAGATGGGAACAATTTGCTTACCATACTAGGCTGCTTTTGCTCAATGGTAGAAAGACGCTCGCCGATCGCGCTACGGAGCTCATTCTTCCCATTGTGGTTTGGGGCTCTCTTTCTCGAGTCCCGCGAACAGCCGCACAACGGCGCATAGTATACGCAGAATGCCATTACCGATGAAGACAAGGGGGACTGGAATGACCATTTCGGGTTTATTAACCATCGTCAGCCAGCCATGCCCAACCCTAAAGCATGCAGCTCCTGGGGCTCCATCCCAGGATCTGTTGGTTAGACGTCCAACGCCCTACCCACTGAGTTATGAATTCGCTGTCCTGTTAGTTGCAATCGGATATATATTCTAACCAATTTACATCAGAAAGTCCATGTCGAAGCGTTCTGTTGAATTACTTATGCCTCCTTTATCTCTACAAAACCTTCTGATGCTAGGTCTGTGTGGCCCTGGCTTTTTTATTTTCGGCTATAATTGTCACCAGATTTATCTGCCTGCCACAGTTTACTAGCTGTTCACTTCAAGCCGATTTAAGTGTTTTAAACGTCTTCGAAATTTGTTTGTTTACATTTGGAAATTCATACTTCTTCATAACAAGTTCAGTGCAGTTACATGTATCTAGGTTTAAAATTTTCAGGCAAAAATATTCGCACATAATATGCGTCACATCTATTGTCTTCGTATGAACCGGGCGAATTGGGCTCTCCGAGAGGAATCAGAAAATTCGGTAAGTATCCGTTGTTTTATTGATATTAGAGTTATATGTAAGTTTCGACTGAATTTTTACCACTACTCTGTGCTGAATGTTACACATAGTCAGTAGCTCAGTCCAGCAGATTCCAAACAAGCTTCTCAATGGAAAGTGCGGTCCTGTTTAATACGCGTTTATTCGTCGAAAGAAATCATAAGTTTCCCATGTCAATCTTAAACACGGCATCATTTTAAAGTACACATAAATTTATGCTCACCAAATTTCCCTAAAACTTTGCACTTATTTGGACTTTAGGGTTTTGCAGAATTTTGTCGGGTACAAACGTTCGCTACATTAAAAGAAAATATGTTTCCTAGGACGCCTGCACAAGTATTTTAAGCCATCCTGGCCTATTGTAGTCCCCAGTCCAGTAACGTCTTGCACTTTTAGTGAAAGCACTCTTGACTGGTTTTAGCGGTTTATCAATTACGGCATTATTTTTTGACAAATTATGGCAAATAGAGAATTTACACAGTCTGACAATAATCATTATACGATGGGATGGAATCCTTGACACCCGCAATCCCGACTGCGTCAGTCGACTTCTAGTCTCCTGAATAAGGTCTAATTTAGGTTCAGAAGCAGAAAAAACTTTTCGGCAGAATAGTCCTAACTCGTGGTAATAACTTATTGATGGTCATTTTAAAAAATACGTCCTCTTGATGTTCAGGCGCAGGATTTGATTGGGTTGCCAGATATGGAGAGGGTGGTGAGAAGGTGCAACAGGCGTATTCTCGTTGAACTCGTGTGCAGCGATCCTGATAGCTGAGAAAATGCCTGAATGGTATGCGGTAAAAAATAAAAGACCAAAAAGTTGGGAATATTTAAACTCCATCTGATTTGTGATCACGATATCCTCCCATGTAGCCATGGCCTACACAAAACAGACACATTCAAGAAGCAGGTAACCTATCTCAAGAACATAGAGACATTGCAAGGTGGTCATGGGCTGAATTAAAGCGAAGGAAGTTTGCGCAACAGTAAACTCGTTCCCTCATTCCCTCATATGACTAGAAGAGGGTGACGGGAGACGGGTTTGGCAGACTGCCTGAACCCGAAAAAACCGCGCGAGCGTCCCATAGCATGGCTTGCATGTTTATCACAGTCCAACCAGACTTAATTTACCTTATTTGGCTTTACTTGTCAGTAGAAACAGTCTCAAAGTATGGCCGCTTCATTCAGCCCAACCTTACAGAGGAACACGTGACAGCGGGGAATCAGGTTCTGTGTCAAAGTGGGTTGATAATCTCATACCGCATGCACTTTGTGTGGGTGTCAGCGCACCACACTGGCTCTTCCCAGTGAACTTCCGCGCGCATCAGTCGAAAGCCTTACCCATATGGTTGACTCGAAGGAGACGTCTTTCTATGGGACTTCGGCTTTATAAAACGTCCAATTTATTACCCTTTTGGCAGTCGGCTTTCAGAAGCGGACCTCATGTGTGATTTAGTGATCAAGAAGAGATGCTATGTCCTTTTTTACCTACCAAAGCATAAAATCTCCAAATCTGTGTGGTCAGTGTTATGTGGAGTTTCTGGCTGCAGGTATGGCAAATTGAAATAAGTATTACTTGATTCAGCGCGACTGTCAACTTCATATACATTAATCCTTATCTAACATGATTAGTGATTAATGTTTAATATGATTTAACTCATGGTTCCCAATGGGCCCTCGAAACTCAGTTGGCTAGAACTTTGGCCCTACTCGAACCTCCCTCCTGCCTTCGATGGTTCGAATCCCATCGAGATCGCCGAGTTTTTCACAATTGGGGCAAAATAAATCTTCATCTTTCTTGAGACTTTGCTGCTTCTTGGAGCGTCACATGGTCCGGCATATATTATGAGAAAGGGGAATCTCGTTGAATGGAACAAGAATGTTACTTGCCTAAAATTTCCAGCCAACACTCCAACCCATCGAGGGAGGCAAAATCATATTTGTACGGTGATGAGACCAGGAGTGAACCCGAACTCTCAGGCAAATCGAATTCTTGATCCAGCCAGTTAGTCCCATTTCCGTAAACTGCCTCCCGAAACTCTACTCTCCACTTATACGGACTTGGGATTTTTCTTGTCGACAGTCCCTTTGGGGTTTTGCGTAACTGATTCTCCTTATAATCCCCTAGATGCGTCGGGAGAGAAGTTGCTTTTTGCTACCTTTTAAACTTGGAACGTCAAAACTGAATTGAGAACTGAAACCCAGAAAATATTCCGTTCAATCGATAAACTCACGGTAAGGCATTCTTTATTGGGTCTCTGGATGTTCACATAATACATTAAATCGGCCTGAACTTGTACGAGGCCTGCTTAACTGTCATACGAAACAGGAGCTTAATCTCCTAGAAATTATGAAAATGCCTTTGTAAATGCTCTTTGGATCGTAACATTATCATATGGATGTTCAGCGAGCATTGCTAAGCGATCAGGCCTTCTCGGAGATAATAATTTAGCGATGCATTATACCGAAAACGGACTAGCTGTAGATGAAACTTGGGCTCCAGACATGTTGGTTTTTGTAGAAGGTAATAGAAACGAGGTCCCGAAATGCTAAAATCTGTCTTAACAAATGGATTTACACGTTAATTGTGTCAGCTGAGCTTCTCAAGCAGTTGGAGCCACAACCAAGCCAGACGCCGTTTCCTCATTGCGATGGACGTGAGAGCGTACTTTTGGTTCTACTGTTACGTTTGAGACATTCTAATCTGACCGATAAGACGTTCCAGAATTTTTAAGCAAAAAACATCTGTCTTAATTTGTTTACTCGAGAGCCGCGATGCAGTACCTGCGCTCCACTTATTACGCGCTGGCGCTGTAGATTGTTTATAATATAGATTAAATAGCCGCCGAAAAAAATCCACAACCTATGACTACAGTCTGCTGAAGAAGACTAGGATTTTTGGCAGTTTAACCCCCTGAATGGCGAAAAACTGGGCTTTTTTGTGTCATGATTTTAACAAGTAAACAAGTACTGGATCTCCGCCCGTGACTGTTCATCTGTACTTCGTATAAAACTCGCGCCTTATTCATTCACCAAAGGGATGATCTACGCAAATTTATGTTTGTCTAACCCCTACTGACGCAACTATTTGTAGTGCGTCAGAAGTTCGACAGACTGACAGCCTATGGCGTGGTTTTCTTGTTTTTGTAAGACATAATGATGCTAGAATCGACGAGTTTGTTTTTGGGATCGTTACGAACTATTTTGGAGGTACAGCATACATACTAGGTATTTTAGAATTTGAAGTTCTGTAGGTATAGTAGCCGCATTTACCAGAAGACTTCAGGACTTTTAGTTGGCAAATTCTACTCTTCGGTTCTCAGATTCGCTACGAAAGGCATTTCATAAATGCACAAGAAGTTCTTTACCATTACGGACTTTGTAAATATGTGAATCCAATGCAAAACATGTTAAAAAGTCGCCTCCGGGTTAGCCTGATTTCCGACTTTACCGTGGACGGTTTGAATGACTACATCCACCGGTATTGAAAAGACGGACAAAATGTGGGTTCATAATGCAAGCAAGTTCTAAATAAATAAATAAATAGACTGTTTTATTTAGCACCCATAAAGGTACTTTTGCGTTTTTTGCTCTTAAATAGGAGTCTATTCCCTAATTTCGATGAAATTTCGAGGACACCAACTTTACAGTTAAATAATATTAAGGAGAGAGCGGTTTTGTCCATGATGTAATCAAAATGTACCATTTTCAAATACAAGAGAGATTAATGTGGTTAGTTCTGCCTTCAGCCGTTGCAGTCAGAAATGCCCCAGTCTTTGAATTACTCTTTTTCTTTAGCATTTTGAGATGCTATAAAACCGATTCTTGAGAAAAAAGTAACTGCTTCGCAAGTAACTGGTAGCAAAAAGGGCTTAGAAGCGGCACCTATCAAAGTGGCACGAGAACGTTTGACGAAAGCTTTCAAAGGCAACAGTCAGACCACCTGAGCGGAAGCTCTTTTGTTGCTTTTCTGACAAAATTGCTAGCAGCGCGCGTTTAGTCTAGGAGAGAGGCAATATTGCGAGGAAGCTACAGATTCGAAATTTCTGTCATCGTGTCACTGAAGTCCTCCCTATCCGCGCTTGCCTTTTAGTAAAACCCGAGTTCCGGATAACATTCTAGCCCACCGGCCGATCGCTGTGTCATGACAAGTCAGCATGTGTTACCCAGATGCCTTCATCTGTGAAAGGACTCATAACCAACAAAATGGGATTACCCCACTCCACCAAAATTGTGAGCAGCGATACCCGTGAACAGGTGGCATTTCACGCGGCGAAACCAGTTCGCCCTTTCATGCATTGTCTGGGATGCAAATGCGCGAACTGCCAACAAAAAATGAATCTATGTCGCACTGTAAACCCTCCTCCCTCCTAAAATCAGACAAAAGTAGCAATGCGCGCACAAAAAACGAATTCGGGTAGTTTTAAAGCAGAATTTCATTCTGGATTTCATTCAGAGGTCTTTACTGAGACTTAGAAGGCGAGAAATGTCAAAAAAGAACGAAAACGGCCAGATGCCCATTCTTTTTTTGCCCGCGTCTGCCGCAAACATCGTGTGCTGCTGGAAATTATGTTTTTAGGAAAAACGATAAATATGACGCAACCGTAACCACCTAATCAGTCACAAAAGCAGTCACGTAAGGGTGCTACACTGGCTTGAAAAGACGAACTGAAAGACACGGTTGACGAACTACAGTACTTTAGTTGGGTACTTGGAGCAAATAACCACTGTCGCAGCTTTGTCCACCAATGCTTCCAAAGACCAGATAAAGGACCAGATACACCTAACCCCACATTTTTGAGGAGCGTCTGGGGACGTTAAGGACCTTTCTGAAGCCGCCGGCTGTCTTATCACGCCACATGGATTACAAGTAAGTACGTGGAGTTCAGGTTTCACACCAATCGGAGACAACCCTCTGGTGTCACCTAATGGGATCTGTATGCTTGCATTACAAATGCACACTGGTCACGCCGCACTCCCTAACATAAGTTACCTTCATTTTTTGCTAGTCCTAATGGTGTTTTCGGGCGAGTTTCACAAATATCAACGAAAACGTCTGCTCTAGCGTTTAGGTCATCTTCCTGGAAATAGCTTTTTCAGTTGTTGTACGAGAGATTTCAGAAAGTACAGTGTGTGGCTTAGGAAAAGGAGACAGGTTAATGTCTCTGTAGCTAGCATCTGCTCCTTAAATAGTTCATTAACTTAATACGGTTACAAGTGTCGAGCGTTTGGGCTGTAACATTTGCCTTGAGCTATAAGTAAACTCGAAGCAATTCGTTGGTTTTTTAATATTACTAACCCTAAATTTTTGTTTCCTAACTTCCCAACACTTTTAGTTATGTCATAGACTATGGATAAGCCGATAGCATAATACTTTAAGACCTCCACGCTCGGGTCGGTCATGTTATGTGTTTGCCGCGCACTGCAAGATAGAAGAGAGGTGAACCGACCGTGTACCGTAGTCCGCCGGATAACTGTGTAGAGTGCATATGAATGCCACGTGACCCAACGGAGAATCGACCCGGAAGGTTGACGCACGATTCAGTCTCTTGACCTAGAATGAGCGAAGTTTCCATTGGGCACTATTGATTGGGACTTGAGGCTCAGTTGTCGGAAATTACGCCGTCTGAGACAAATACGGAGTATTCTAACTCTTCAGGGATCTTTACAGTCTGGCAGTGTCTTGTGTATGTGATTCGCTAGCGTTTTGACCTCAATGTTCAAACTGAACGGTCTGTTGGCGAATGGTTAACCTGCAACTGCCTATCTGATGGATTTCCACATAAGTCCCTCCATACTTATCTTTCCTGTCCCGATAACCTAGTCAGCTGTAAAACGTTTTGAGCACTGCAGCGGACATTTTATTGTGTAAAAGCCCCCTTTTGTCGATTCGCTGAAATACTATTATTTGCCAGTTTAGGAATGGGTAGTTGTGTTTATTTTCAATGATCCGCTGAATTCAGTGCAGTGGGTCGATTCTTCAGACTGTCCTGAATTAATGAGAGAGAAATTTGCTTTATTTTGAAAACATGAATTCTAGCTATTCAGCAAAAATGTACTCCATCTAATGTGGAAAGAATACAAGTTAAGAAAATACTCAAGAGCCGAAAAGGCTTACACAGAAAAGAACAACTATTGCGAGGACAATTCAAGCCTTACTTTCTGTACTGCTGTCTCGTCACACGTATTATTGCGTGCCAGGAATACAAATGCAGAATGCTGATGTGCCGATGTACGGCAAGCGATATGTCGAAAGCCACGTCGTGTGGGACGAAGGACTTCGCAAAGATCAGTTCAGAATGCAGAGGATGAGCAACGCCAAGTAGAATTCGGCTAGCAAACTGCTTGACCGTCTTGAAATGTCGTTCAACGAGGATATTGACGAAAAATGCAAAAAAACACCAGCAGCAGAGGAGAGCATTTGGGGGATTCGTTTTAAAATTAACATCTCTTTTTATAGATGTTTTGGCAGATTTTAAATAATTCAAACTTACCCAACTGTTAAAAACTCGGCGCCTCAGTGGGATTCGAACCCACGCAATAAGGGAAAGGCTTTAGCACGACCGACGCTCACCGCTCTTCTAGTAAAGCCGGAAAAACAGCAAAAGAACAATAAAGAATGAGAGGAAGAATGCAAACATCTACGAATCGAAAGATAAAGGATTGAGGCGTGTGGTAGGAATGTATAAGACAAATTTATTAAACATTTTTACGAGCATTAATGAAAAAGTTCTCAATATGGAGAGAAAATGAAAGATTTGATGACAAAGAAACACCAAGGTACCTTAAAGAGGATACCCCTTTTGGAGGATCTCCAAGGACTCAGGACTAGGGGAGGGTCGCAGTCGGAAAATACACTGGACGGATTTCTGATTATTCAGATGGAGACCATTTTATTGCGACCATACTGAGGCCTGGTCAAGTTCATCCTTCAGAGACTGGAAATGAGCCTGATTTTGGAGAAGGTGACCAACAACCACATTGTTGGCATACTTAACAAACAGATACTCCTTTAGGCATCTTAAATCATCAGTGTGAAGGGAGAAGATGCAAGGAGATAAAATGAGACCTTGGAGAACATCACAATTATTGTGAAGGAGCGTAGATGTCCGCTCTCCGGATTGAACAAATTGAGTGCAGGAAGTACAATAATCACCCAGGCTGGTGAGCCGCGCGGATATTTTGGTAAGGAAATGATGGCGCAGGACGATGTTGAAGGTGGAGTAGTCGAGAAATGTACATGCGTACGCACGTCGACCCTTACCCTGTTCTCTTAGGGCAGAATGGACCACATGAGCTACAGCATCTAAGGTACTACGTTTGGCCTAATATGCACATTGTAAAGGATTGGAAAAACCGGAAAAGAATGGCTTTATAAGAATTCTAGATAGCGAGCATGAATTCTATCGGGTCTTACCATAACAGTATTGGGAGTACAGCAAATACCAAAAATTTCATCTAAAAATGTTGTAAGATGGCTAAAGCCCGAATCGGCATTCGATTGTCTAAGGAAAGCGAGGATAGTGTAAAATATGCAAGACTGAAGTAAGCAAATGTTTTGGAAGACCCAGTAACGCAGAATGATCTGAACCTGACAACGGAGCTCTAGTTTTAATTCAAAAAGCCCTGAGTGATTGGTCAAAGTATGATCAAGAGGGGTGTCAACGCGAGTATTGGAGGAGACAGGATCATCAAAGCCCAAAAGTGTGAGGAGAAGTAGGTTCACGCAATTAAAATCGACGCATAATAGAATAAGTAAATAGAGTGCCATGAGGATACAAGAAATACTCTGAACAACAGAACCAGGTGCACTATCGGGCCATATTTACTCTGTTGTAGAAACCCGTCCTTTTAATATGGGGGTTTGAAGCTTTAGCCTACCTTCAGTCGGAATGGAACATCAGATAGGTATCATATCATATACCACATAAAATTGATCGGAAACATACAGGAACAGGAAAGGTCTAGCCCGCAGACATGATTCACACGTATATGTTGGGTAAACTGGCTAAACAAGGTGTTGGGTGTAAAAGCGTGATGAGAAGTATCAGCGCTATGGAAAACTAAAACGTTCGTCCAATGAGCAACAACCGTACTCAGCTATCTACATTTCCTTTTCATGAGGTCGCACTTTTACACCTGATTGCGAAGGATTAAGGTATAAATCGTACCTTCTGTACACTGTAAGTGCTATCTTTTATGCATTTGTAAATGTTTAAACACGTCCAAACAAAGACAGAGGAGATTAGGGAGCCATTTCTGTCCTGTGATTTAATGGTAAAATTATGAAATTAATAACGCTCGATGGTCACAAGAACGCAGACGCAGTAAAACGTGTGCTTTAATAAAGACTACTGACGACGGCTAATAAGTCGAAAATGGCCATCCCTTTTAAAATGGCCATTTCTTTTAAAATGTATCCCCGGCCGCTATTTGACCGTCTGCGAGGATACTACATTGGGCTCGATGGCCTGAAGAGGCGAGCACGACTGGCAACCCGATCGGCGAACACACATGCAGCATATGTACAGTTGGTCACCTGACATATGAAATACGCCTTGTCTAGCGAAGGATCACAGGGCGAAATACTTTTTGAAAGCAATAACCAAAGAAATAAGTTCTTAGGCGTTCTTTTTCATGCAGATGACCGTTTAGTGCGTATTGGAAACTCGCGCAATCATGAAACATCAGTGTCGAAAGAAATGAACCTGCGAAGCAAAATTAAACCGAGTGATAAATTTTTTCGAATAAGTACCTATTTGGAAAGTGCGTTGCTACTGCATTATGTTTGGGGATCTTAACTTACTACCCCCTTTCACACGGTAAAGCCAAGACAGTATTTAATCGTTTTCTTAGCTTTTGTGAAAAATACGGCTAGCTGATATTAAGCAAACGAAAGGACTCGTTTTTTTCTATAAATCGCTCTAATTTTCGCTTTCGTTAGATTTATCGGCGCGAAATCCAGCAAATTTGCAAATTTTGATTTTAAAAATCGATAAGATATTTTGGTTTTCTAAAAATGCCTTGTTTCTTCACAACCCGCTCCCCACGGTTAACATTTGATCGAAAATCAATATTCGAGTGTGGCAAGTTCTATTTGGTAAAGCTCCTGGGGTTTCATTACGTTCAATCCAAAGAAAATCATGTTCGTATGCGCAAACCGAATCTCAGACGGCTAGTTACATAGGAACTTGCCCAGATATATTGTGACGTGCCTAAAAAACTACTTAGACACATATTCTGCACAAAAGCGATATTTTTTGGAAGGGAGTGCACGGCTGAGCAAAATGCGCAACCTTTTAGGTACCAAAATTTATCATCTCAATTCCCATAATCATGCTTAATAAGTTTAATCATATATTCCGCATACTTTTATTTCAGTCTGCTCTCTGGGTGAGTCGAGTAGCACCGCCCTTCGCTGGAAACTTTCAAAACATCAGAACCAGAGTCAGCATTAGCAGTTCTCTACGAGGCACGGAACTGGAGGATCGCCAATTGGATACGATAAGTGAAGGATCTTGCCGCAAGACATCATGTCCCGAATACGGAATGCAAGACGGTAACTCACCGGGTATGCTGGTTTTGACAGATTTCACAGAGATGTCTAAAGTGGATAGACTAGAGAAATATTCCGGATCGCCATAGTCCTGTTAACCATATTGCTTGATGATATTTTGCCCCTTCTCTTTATCTACTCTTCTACTGCGCGACCGAAGCCCCTCTAACTCTGGCTTCTGTCGCTTTAAGGCTCGAAACCATTTCAACGAGGATAAAATCATAGGGAGCCTTTATTTGCTGTACACTGTCCTTGAGTAACTCTAGGTATTTCGTCGCACAGGTGTTCGATTCGTAGAGTCCATATTCAACTGCTCACTTGATCGTTTTGATTATCAGATAACAGCTGAGCTAGAACTATAAAAGATAATTTCATTTTTCTCCACTGAAGATGAATGAGAGACTGGGCAACTGCTGTGTATCTAAGGTGTAAACACCGTCTAACGCACAAATCCTGCTCCCTCATTCGTCGTACCTCTCCGATCCTCGTCATCCAACGTGCTTTATTTCCCCACCTGGTCGCAGGCTCCGTGCCTCTTTTAATATTGGTACAAAAATAAATGCGTGAACTTTCGATGTTAATAAAACTTCAATTCCTCAACTTATGACTTACAAGATTGTCAACCGACAGTCAGAAGTGAATCTGTGGTAGCCCACTCCCGCACACTTGATGCAGAGAAACTTTTAAATCATTAGGTGAAATCTATTAATCGGCTTTCGGATAAAGTCCTCCTGATACGGTTGCCATGTACGTGCTCTCAGTATAACTAATATGAGAATGCACTGGCTTCGCATCGCGCATTACCTTAATAAATTCAGACAGTTCTGACGGCAACACTGAGTATTTAACCAGTGTATACTTTCCGCCGTTTCGTTATTTTGTTAGAATATCAGTATTTTTTTCAAAAAAGGTTGATAGGAATGTACTTATTTAGTTTAGTTACGCGGCGTTTATCGTCCTGCATTTTTTGATCCAAGATGGCCTTCTTGTTACGATTCACAGTATTTTGAGGTTTCCTGTGAACTTAGAATATGTGGTGCTTAAACCATAATTTTCATGTTGCTTTGTAGGAACTTTCAAAGCGTTTAAAATCTTTATATTTGGAAATCGGGCGCTAAATGATATGAACTATTGACCTCGCACATGTCAGTTTGCCAATATCTTCCTGTCTGGTTGTTAAACCATCGAAATCTTGGACTTTCTAAACCGAAGTGATTCTCAGTTATAAACACTCTTCTTATGAACACATGGCTTCAATAAAGGGATTGGGAAAATTGGACCCTTATAGGCTCTCCTGAAGAGGAATATTGACCTTTTTTTGAGTGTCTAAAGGCAATCGAAAAAAGTAATACACATAGATTGAGTTTCATTCAGAATCATGTCCTTCTAGTTGACTGAATAAGTGTTTACTGGAAAGTACGCAAACGAGGTTATGCAAATCACTCTGATTCATGTTTATATTTCGCACTTATAGGGCCCACCTGTAATAGCAAAGTTTCTAGTTCAGTCAAGGACGTGATTTTATTCGAGCGTAAAATTTATAATTTCAGGTGCCTCTGTATAGGCTCAGTGTAGGATCTACAAATTATCGCAGTAAGCGCAAATGAATAGATTGGCTACCCTTTCTTTTATTTTGATCTCACTTACAGATATCGGAGTGTACACTAGGGTGCCCAGGAAAAGCCACTCCTCCATAAATTTCACAAGCACAAATAAGGGCAGTCCAACTGACATCGGCTCTGAAACTTTAAGCCAAGTGGAGAGCCTGACAGGTCTGCCAGTCACCTTTGAGGAGGAGCATCCGACGCCGTGTCAGGAAGCCTAGGCACAGTCGAAGCCGGCTAACCCAACACTGCATTCAGTTGCCAGTTCCTATTTATCCCTCAACCCCTTGAGATTTGCCTTTCCCCGAACTAAAATGCACTTAAAATTTACTGGGTATTCAGGCGCGTTTATGCATTATTTGAACATCTTGACAATCTAACTGCGGGTTGCGGTAGTTTTTCTAAAAATCTGGACTGCTGTACATACAGTCAGTGGAGCATCGGGTGTCTGTATCCATCATTTGGATCTATTTAATGTTGCTAAATACTCCAAGAATTCGGTTAAAGTTAAGGCAAAAGATAAATCCCGTGAAAGGTTCTGTTAGAATACAAAATTCCAATCAAATTGTTTTAAAAATATTCATTCCTTTATGTAGAGAAACTTTCATTCGGACGCTGCTCCGTCCATGAACAGCGGCTGTTCGATACATTTTTAAATTATCTGCGGACTGTCCGACTGTCCGATCAATTTGATTCCCGTGTAAAGATACAGGATTCAAACGGGTACTATTCTTAAATGGGTTGAAAATGAACCTTTAAAATGTACGCTTGATTGCGTAGAAATATTACTTTTAGATACCGCCGATCAGGCTCTGGCACCTTGAGTTTTACGTGGTATTCCGCAGGGCTTGCTCAAGGGGCCAGGCTGGAGATACGCTGAAACAACATGGGGTCCAGATTTGGTCATGCACGCGTTAACCTGTCTGCGCTGTCCCCGCGAATCTCATTACAAATGCCGCACATGGAGGGTTTCACTCCTAGGTGCAGGTTTCACGACGTACCAACCACTTGCGTCCAATCCCAACGCCAAATGGCTGACAGTACGGGTGCACTGCAGAGGGAAAATTGAGGTAGACCCAGGGGGCATCCATCCCCACGGTGTTATTAGCGCCCTGCACAACATACCAAATTTATCGCGTTTTAACCTATCACGAGGCGAGTATAGTCGCGGCCTGGACGGTTGCCAACTGACAGGGTAAATTGGTTATCCCAGGACGGAGGGTCGGGCTGCAATGACTCTTACTTTTGTGTGTAGTCTAGGTGTCATTGCATAATATGAACACCCACCGTTCGAGATCCGCTAACACAATATCCATATGCGGTGTTAACCACTAGTCATACTACATATCGCTTCGTCTGTCCAAGGTTTCGGAGGTACGGAAGCCATGCACCATTAAGTGGTCGAGTGTTTTTCTCGGCTCAACCGGATATAAAAACGTCCTGACATTTCACACACCTGCTAGTGAGAGAGAGAGATCTAGTGACTAGGGAGGGTACGTTAATGTCACATAGGTTATCTCTGACAATTTCACAGTTAGGATGTGCAGTATGCCTAGTCCAGCTTTAGCATGCAGCAGTACAGCTTCCAGGTACTTCCTCGCATCGACTGTCTCAAGGCCGGATTTTTACATTATGATTCAGCTGGGATTATTGTATCCACTTACTGAAGGGTTTGGTGAACAGTCGTTTTGCAGAACCGTCTTTAGGACAAAATGAATTTTCTGGTGTGTCGGCTTCCTGCGCAGAATATGGTTGAGAGTTTCATTGGTATTCAGCCATTGTGCTCAAAAATTCCCTTAACTTAATCCATTCTCCATGGGAAGTGATGGTGCTCTGCTGTTTCTCACAATTACAAAATTATTGATGCCTTGATTTAGCAGTCTGTGTTGTTCCTCCACTTGGTGCGGTTTAGTCAGATACTAAGAGCCATTTGTGATGAGAACGGCTGGGCAAATTTCGGAGGGTTAAATTTCGGAATGTTGAGAGTTATTTTTAACAACATTCCTTACATAAAGTCATGAAATCATGGGGCCTATTTTCAAGGTCAGCACTCGATATGTAGAGTAGCCCATTAGATCACTTTGTGCCTAATAACATTATTAATATAGAAAGATCATTTATAACATTGTTAGTGCTCACGGACAGTCCGTTAGATTAGAGCATTTCTGACCGCATGTCGGAGATCAAAATTTAGTGCTGGCGACATAAGAAGTAAACATATTATGGCCTGGTTAGCTGCATCTGGTTGGAAGCATCATGCATGTTTTCAAAGTGGTGGTATTCAAAACGGTTTAATTCAGGAGATAAAGTCGGCAATTATTTGGTCCGACACACACGGGCCCGTCCGGTCTCCTTTGTTTACCGCAGATAATTGGAGACTAATAGTGCCAACGCAGGCGCATGATGTTTTTGCTACCAAAGATGGGTGGTGTTTGGTAAGTCACCACGGCGCTAAACTGAATTTAGGTGGAATAAAAGTCCAGTCTTTACAGAATGTACGTAGGCGCCGACAATGTGGTTAAGAATGTTACGTCATTTAAGGTATGCGAACAATGGCGAGTGCACTATGTCGGAAAGCCGACCTCAGGCAGGCAATGTGTGCCGAAAGTTTTTACATACTGGTAGAATGCCCTAACAGGGATTGCATGCAGGATGATTTACTTGTGTGTGGTTGTAATAATTGCAAGCATGAAATATAGTCGTGAGTTGTCCTATCAACAGCCTCATGGCGGTATGATGGTCTTTTTAGTCATTCACATGCAAAAGATGTTCTATTTCGTGAAATATTAACTTGAATTCCGAAAAAGGTTACTCAATGGGAGTTGTAATATTTATTATCGCTCACCATAATTGCAAGGTATTTCAATCGCGTCAGGATACCAACTCCAAATGTGCTTCCTCTCGGCCGCCATTTAGAAAACGACTACTTACGTAGTATGCAATTTTTTGCCCTGACTTGTGGTGCGCGTGGGAATGTTGACAGACTTTGGCAAAAAAAAACGTGTACAAAATATTCTTCTGGTGCTCATTTTATAGCAAATCACGTCTTCAAATTTTATATTCAAGAAAGAGTATTTTTGGTTTAAAAAACGTTTTGCATTTGCCGAGTTATCTTGAGCTCGATCTGCCGTTACACTTGCATTCAGGGTTTCTAAACGACGAGCTCTGTTCTCTCCCTGTACGGATAATCATATACTTCTATATGGCGAGAAGCATTGTGACAAAGTTCTAAGCATCATAAGCTGTTCTAAATAGAAAAACAAACATGCATCATCCAGAAAATTTACAAGCAATATCTTACCAAATGAGTACACGTTTGTCCTAAGAGATACAGTACCTGTGCTAACTCATGAAATGCCGAGGTCAAAATAAGAGTGGAAAATGTAGAGTATTTTTGGTGTTGTTATTTGTGTTTATTTAGTTGAAATAAGGACGAAAAGGCAGTTTGCTGAAGGAAAGTTTGATACGGATCCTTTATTAATTTGGTTGTAATATAGGCGTTTCTCGAAAATGTGACTTTTGTCGAAAATTATTTATTTTTATCTCAGTAAATAATAGTTTCTTAACCAAACTTTGCTTTATTTCTTTGACACATCGTTTATTTTCCGCTATCAGACTTTGGGAGCCGTAGTGTTTACCGATTCTGCGTTTAAGTCGTTAACCTGTGTTAATTCATGACATTTCATGAGTTAGCACAGGTACTGTATGTCTGAGGCCAGACAAGCATGTAGAATCGATAATAAAAATTAACTCAGTTTATATTTTGATTTTCCTCGCAAGTGGGAAACTCCAAGTTAATAAGGCTTTTAAGGCCTCGGTCAGAAATGCTCAAGACCTAGAGAGGCCACCGGCTGCGCGTAGTCCTTCGTCGTGTTTTTTAGGGATGTTCGCGGCATGAATGAGCAGTGGAAGCGTTTAGGTTAATTCGAAATCCCCAAGTTAAATTACCGACCCCAGAAACATTCTGGCACCTTTTGGGCGATAAAATAAATTCGACAGCAAATCTATAAGGCTGCGGAAGAAAGGTGGCAGAAGTTCACGAAAACGGACGTTTGAACTCCACGTCAAACTGCACTAAAGTTAGACTAAATAACTTTGTAGCATTCAACTTTCCGTTTACTCCTCGTAAAGCTCCGCAAATGAGATGTTCATAAGTGGTCTACATCAGAATTTATTGGCCAGACACTTCCCACACTCAGCGCTAGTCAGTTATCTCGCAGAACAGAAGAAGTTCCAAGATATTTACTATGGAAAATAACAATTTTTTGCGTCAAGGTGAACTCATTCGCAGGGGTACCAAAGTCCTTGCAGTTTTAAACCGTGAAATCGTCAGAAATCCGATTTCTGGAACAACTAGTCTGTTTGACAAATGGGTCTGCTTAAATGTGCTCGCAGATATGCTGAAAACGGTTTCTTGTTGGAAATGCATTTAAATAAATTCCTTCCAGATGGGTTAGCTGAAATCAAGTAGTTACCGGTAGGATAGGCATCTTAACCTTGAGCCTATAATAGTGCAAGTAAAATCTGGGATAGGCTTCTGAGAAAGTCTGCTTATTGCGTGGCTAGCACGAGCTGAGAACACGCAGCAAGGATGCATGCGCGTCCGATCCTACCTCCGGTCATCCTGACTCCGTCCTACCACGGGACCCAGGAGTGGGAGGGAGGGCAGAGTGTGATAGGTGCTGCGCAGGTCGGCCATCATTACAAACTATTTCATGCACAAATCACCTTCGTGCGAGGCCGTGCTGCGGAGCACACTTTGAACATCATCACTCGCGATGGCTGAACAGTCACGCGCGCATGAAAACGTCCCAGTCCCCTCGGCAAGTGTCTGTCTTGTGCAATGATTTATCGTACTAACAACAGAGGTATTAGCTAAAAGCCCAGACACGCTTGTTTCGCCGATCTTATGCCGCAGCGCACATATTCATATCAAACTTCGGACCGTGCCTGAAAAGATCTGTTTCGAAAGATTTACTCCAAGTTCACGCACTAGTTTCCTCGGAAATTAAACAAGGCAAGTGCCTGTCTCTTAATCAGATTGTTAATCTTAGCCCCTGGATTAATTATGCCGCTGCAACCACCCGACGTATGTGTTTGTCCTCGCATGGTAGTAACGTCCGTTTAGCGAGCAACAGCACACGAGCGATAATAGCGAACGTATAAAATGCAGTGAACTGTGAACCGGAGACAACTGAAACTCTCACCTATAGATCCTGTG